CATGTAGTTAACTTATGGAAGCACTATGCAAAGACAAACTATTTCTAATACTGAAAGCTTCATTTATAAAAAAAATTTGTTTAAGTTTAAAGAGATCATTTTGTTGTTGTTCTAAAGAAACATATGCATGGCTTCCAAGTACATAGCAACCATGAGACAAAATTCCTAGGTTCCAAGTCAGGAAACCCATTGTATAATGGGGTGTGTGTGTGTGTGTGTGTGTGTGTGTGTGTGTGTGTGAGCACTATAGTAATTATACCTCTTGGATAGGAACAAATCAATACCAAATTTCACAGTGAAGCACAAAAATCCTTTCAAAGGTCTGGAGAGGCACTTATTTCTATTTATATCCTATACTTATATGACAAACATATACAGATAGTCCCAACTTTACAAAACACACACTGAAGAATTTCAAGCCAACAGGATTCATAAATTCAGGAATTAATTATTTGCACTCCTAATAATTCTTTGGGAAAAAATTTAATCTAGACAATAAGTTCATTTTTGGTTTATAAATTCTGAGAAGATGTGACTTTAAAAAGTCATTACCCTTCAGATTAGCTGGACAATGACATGGTGGGATTGGTTTTATACAATCACACCTCTATTACAAGTGACCCAGCAACCCTTTCTTCACAAAAGAAGCAATAGGGGGAGGCAAACAGCACAAGAAAAGGTGCCGCCACACAACTCAGCAGCCTACATGCAGAGGAAAGGTGACTTTTAAAGTATTGATACTCCAGAACCAAACACAAAGTAGCACTGACAAGTTGCCATTTCTTTCACAAATGAGTCCAGCTCCTCGTCTATAGAACTGGGTTAATATCAGCATTCACAGTGTCAGTGAAGACTGAATAATAGTGCTTTGAATGAAAATACTTTATAAAATATTAAATCCCATAAAAATGTCAGTTAATACTAAAGTGATATCATGTGATCTAGCCCAGTGAATTCTTCCACCTTTGAATCCCAAGCCTCAAGGGCTCAGCACCATCTGCACTATTGCCCATGAAAGGCAAAGTCAACACATAGATCATCTCTGAGGCTGAGTTGAAGGGAAATCAAAAGCAGAGTACTCCTCATTATCAAGAAATTAAACTGGCAGAATTGAAAAGCCAGAGGTCCAGGATACTCTTATTTTAAAATGGGTACTAGTGGGAAAGTATCAGTGGAAAAATGAGATTTGATAAATAAAATGACTATAGCCAACTTGACTGAAAGCTTTCTTAAAAATCTTTATGTATCAATGTATTTGCCATTGTGTTTAAATATTTATTGGTTAGCACTAGTAACATGCAGCAATCACAATATTTTTGGTTATAAAGAAAAGCAAATGGGAGGAAAGATCAATATGGGCCTATTATCACGAGAAAAGTAAAGGGCAAGCCCCTCTCATTGATCAGGAGTCAAGAAAGTCATTTTTGCATACTCAATAATGATGTCTTTTTATTTACTTGTGCCCTGGCTCATTCCCCCTCAAAAAAAAAAAAAAAGAAAAGAAAAAAGGAAAACCAAAAGACTTAAAATGGTGAATGGCCAGTAATACTAACAAAATTTAACTTCGTTTATTTTTATTATATTTATTTATAGACAATCTTGTTCTACAAAGCATTTAGAAAGCTGAATTTGATTTCTTAGAAAATTTTGCCATCCTCTTACTAAAAGTCTTGTTATAAACTTTATATACTGATGATAAATATAAACTGCATGGCACAATACCTGGAAAATAGTAAGCAATTCATAAAATGTAGTTACTATTCACGTCAGGATATAAGATCTATGAGGGAATGTATTATCTTGTCCCATCTTGTTCAACACTCTATCTCAAGAAACCCAGTCCAGTATCAGGTCCACAGTTGGTATTTAATAAATAATGTTGCATAAACAATTTAATATGAATTAAGAGTAATTCTCAACTCACTCATGTATTTTATGGTTATCAGTGCCCCACCTCCTCAAATCAACAGCAAGGGTCTGGAAAAACCATACCCCAGAGAAAAGGCATTTAAGTTCCTGTTTATATTTCCTTAAACTCACCACAAAGATTCCCTCCCCCCTTCTGTCTCCAAACCATAAATCAATGCTTTGCAACAACATATTCTTAAACAATTTTGCTTCATTTCCCCTCACACACAATGCACAAAGTTCCTTAAAACTGCAAGACTTAGTTTACTTCCCTTTACTCCCTAAAAAGGAAAGGCATATTTGTAAAATCCTATCAATTCTCAAATTTCTAGTCTAACTCTTTGATTCAAATATTAAGGATGGTTATCAATAACCAAGGTTGTTCTTCATGGCTGCTTATCACAAAGGCTATTTGCTTTTTTTACTATATATGTAATACAAATTAAAATAATGAAAATAGCCTTAATATTAAAATTTTTTAAGTTACACAACAAAGTGTATCACACTTCAGAGCTATCAAATTAAGAAACTGACACATATTTCAGTGACGTTGCATTCCTTAGAATACTTTCAGAGATTCTTTTTGGGAACAGACTTCAGATCCAGTTCTACAAGTCACGCAAGTAATTCCGTGTCATACTTTATAGTTGCGACTCCTACTTAACATAAAACAGTATCACCAACCTGACTGCTTAATCTTTTTCACCAGACTTTTGTCCAAATTCTCTAAATTATTTGGATTCAATTTGATTTTGTTATTCCCTAAAATCAAATCTGCGCTCAAGGGATGAAAATAGTGAAAAATAACACAGGCTCCAAAATGGATTCTAAGAGAAGTTCAAAAAAAGTATTTTCTGCCACACCTGAAAAGTTGCTAATTGAAAAAACAACTTCAAATAACTACTCTGAACATTGTAACACAATAAGTAAATCTAAATTGATATTTTCAATCAAAAATCAGTTACATTTGTTTATAGTCAATTGTCATATTGTATCAGTTGTATTTTCCTCCACCAATGTGTCATAGGTTACACCTTAAATCCTCTTCACAGAAATGCAACTAAAAAACAAACTGGAAAGACACACAAGAAACTAAGAAACTTAACAGTGGTTGTCTGAGAAAAGGAATAGCATGGTTGGAAAACAGAAAGAAAAGACTTTTCACTGAATATCCTTTTATACCTTTTGAATTTTATACAGTGTGAATGTATTACCTAGTTTTTAAAAATCTACTTAACAAAATTACTTCTAAGTGTCAGATATTTCTGGCTTCTATAAGCCAGAAAAGTATACTAGCACTAAAGAAATATGGAGTTCGTTTTAATGGCACTTCTCTGTAAATCTGGATCTTCAGTTCCAGTGCAGAGCTATTCACACCAACAGCAGGAAAACCTTGCAAGTAGTTCTATACAAGTTCACTAAACTCATCATAGTTGAGCTATTCTGCTGTATCATTCCATTCAAGTTTAAATGTCATTGGAAACAAAAACTTGGTACTACAAAAATCGATGTGCCAATTCAAGAATGAAAAATAAACTAATGAGCTGGTAAAGGAGCAATGATCCAAATACACCTTGAAAATTAGCAAATCGATAATATATATAGTAAATTACTGCAAATTCCCTTAAAATGTAGGCTGCTATACTATAAAAATGGGGAAAAGATGTCAAGCGTGGTACCACTGGCAGCATAACTCAAGCAGCATGAACTAGAAAATGCAATATGATCTGCTGCTAGACACAATTTCACAATCTCAATTACCCAGAAGATTCTACAAAACAGGAAATTCATGATGTGACTTTAAGAAACATAGGAATTATATTTAAAAATTAACATCCTGAAATTTGTTCCAAAACAAAAAGTTTTATAGACCCCTTTCCAATGATGCATGGGCATGAATTATATGAATCAGTTTCAAATCGGGAGCTCTCAAATTACAGTAAGTCTAAAATATAGTGTATAAAACCTTGGAAGTTAGAGGAGGTAGTGAAATATTTCAGGTCCGGAAATTTGATGGTATTAATTTAACTTAAAACACATTCACAGTGTAAATTAAAGATGAAAAGTGTCTTTTCTCTCCTTTGGTATATATTCTATATCCTTATGAAAACCATCGTGTACCTCAGTCTATAAATGTTCCCTGCAAACCCTCTCAGGAACTTTATAAAAACGCGGTATTATTCACAAGAATTATCGCAATTAAAAAATATTTACAATGCCTCCCAATATCGTTAACAACTTTTTGATCTTAAGGGCGTCCAACGGATCTGAATCTCACTTGCTCCAAACGAGAAAATTGTTTTGTCAAACAATACCTAAATGAGAAGTGGTATGTGACTAATCAGTGAGGCCGCCAGTTTCTCAAGCTGCAGTGTTCTTGCAGGCACTACCACCCACCCCCAACTCTGCGAAAAGGAAATACGCTTTCAACCGAATCGGAAACACACCACTCAAGCTGGCACAGCGCTCACCGAGATAAAGTTGGTATTTTAAGTTCTATGGGTCGCTGATAATTCAAACGCAAATTCAAAAAGAATGCTTCTTAAAATGGGATTTCGACACAGGTTTGCAAAAGAGCCCGGACAGAACGCATTTGGTCGTTAGTTTTGTTCAGATGACCGCAGCCTTCGGGTCGGGCTTTGCCCTTCTTCTCCCGGCAGCTCCCTGGGTTTGTCTACTGAAAGCGCAGACTCCAAGCGCCCAGGATGGGCGGACCTCCGGAAAGGGTCTTTCTGCTCGACGCCAGCAGGGAGATCCCCCCCGCCCCCCAAAAAAAAGCCTCCCCCGGTGCGTGCCCTGGGAGCAGCAAACCCCAAGAAGGGAATGCGCAGGGTGCGAACCAGGCTCGAGCTCCAGCACCACCGCCCACCGTGGACCTGCGTTCTGCACACTGTTGACCACTTTCCTGGGTATGCAGGGTGAGGGGTGCAAGGGGCAAAGGGAGTGCTAGACGGGGAGTCTATGGGGCAGCGATGTCCTCCCCCAAAGTAAATTCCTTCCGCTTGGCGCATCACTGAGCCGTGGGGGCAGGCCTGACTCTGGAGCTTGAAGGGCCAGCCAGCCACCACGGCTCCAGGCCCAATGACACTCACCACACGGAGCCATAGGCGCCGGAGCCCACCGGAGACAGGTTCTGGTAACGCTCTGGCACCTCCCAGATTGTCTTGTTCAGCTCCTGCCGGTAGAACGTGGGCCTTTCCTGAGACATCTTCCAGCGGCGGCCGCGGGCGAGGAGGTGGCCCTCCGGGGCCCCGCCTGCACCCGCACCCGCTCCTTGGCCCGCGATGCCCACCCGATGCGGCCGGGATCCCGCACTGGCCGCCTGCGCAGGTGCGGCTGCCGCGACCTCGCCGACTCCCGCGCGCGCTGCTCCTGTCAGCTGCAGCTGCTGGTCGCGCCTTTGGAGACTGGGGCAAGCCTTGCTAAGGGCAGGGGCGCGCTCTGGGGCTCAAGCCTGCGCCCGCCACGCTCTACCTGCACCCTCTCCTCAACCAGGCCGACTCCCGTCTGCGCCACGGGACTATAGCTCCAGCTGCTGCGCCCGCTGAGGTTCCAGTGGTCGCCGTTCCAGACCCAGAGAACAGAAGCCTCTCGCTGTACTCTCGCGAGAACAGCTCCTGGGACTCTCTGCGAGCCGAGATTTTACCCAATATGGAACCTGCCCACGGGAGGGGTTTGATGAGAGGAGAGGACGGGAGGAGCAGTTATCGCGAGAAGAGAGCAACAGCTGGAGACTGGAGGCAGGAACTCCCAGTGTCTGTTCTTGTTAAGGGCGCGAAGACGGACTTGGGAAGGAGAGGATAAGCAGGCAATGCATTCCGCGTGCGCCCCACCGTGGTCGGCGGGGCAGATGCCTTGCTCCATGGTGACAAGCGACAGTGACAAATAGGGTGTTGGGAAAAATCCAAAAGATCTTTGAACTGTGTGGTTAGTCACCAGCAGCAGAGCAGCTGCTCAGCGGAACCCCCAATTTCCAAGAAGTAATTGAGAAAGATTCCAGGCAGCAAGCCGTTGTATTCCTATCTGCTCAAGGACCTATGGCTTACTCTTTGAAAGCCCGATTAAATCTGTCCCAAAGCAAATATAAGTTCTGCATTTAGGCTGAAGTTTTGCACCCAAACTCTCCTAGTTGGTTTCGAACTTTTATGTGCAGAAGACTCACCTTAGAAGTTTAAAAATGCAGATTCCTGGGATCCACAAGGATTATAACGAACACCAAGAATGTGCATTTTTACAATACGGTCCAGGCAATTCTATTTCAGGAAAGTCTCTGGTATCTCTCTTCGAGAGGCATTTTTAAAACCACTAACCTAAGGATTTGGAACTGACTCCCGCCCTGAAGAGCTTCCACTAAGAGGTTTTAAGCATTTAATTCTCAGAGTAAAAAGAACAAGGCAGAGAGTGGACTTTTGGCGGTGTCTTATTAGGCAAGTAAATGGACCTTCCTAGACCTTAGTTTCAGTTTATGAAAAGAGATTTCCTGTCTTACATTCCTAGTAGGGTCATTTGTAAAGCTGACCAAGATAATAAATGTGAATGGGCAAGATATTTTAACCCCATACCTACCCCCACTGTTACCAACCTATTCTTGTTCTAAAGAGTGTTACAATAAGCAGAAGAATTGGACCGAATCTTATTCTCTCAGTCATTTCTCTTAGAAATAACTAGGTCCAAGCCAGGACAATTCTCATCTCTTCCCACGATTATTCTCTTTTGTGTTTTGCATCCCTTGGAGTGCTCAGACTTTGCCCATCTTGTCCTAGCATCTAGCACAGTGCCTAGAACATAAAAGATACCCCGTAAATATTTGTCGAACAAATTATGAACACCGACCATGATCTCAATTGAGAGGGTGCTGCAGGATCCTCAGTTCTCCTTAACGGGAGAAAAAAAATAATAACATCAGGTTCATGGGTGATTTGTGTAGAGCTTTTTTGGATTCAGTGTGGCTTAGCCTGGATTCTCTTGCCTACAAAGACATGATACTTGAAAATGTCCCAAGTCAACCTGGAGGTTAGGAAGTTTTCAGTGAAATAATGGAGGTTGAAGGAGGAAATGAGAGCAAATATAGGAATCAAGGGGATGAATGAATAGGTACAAGGGAGCAAACTTGGAAGTAGAAATCCTAAAAAAATTCATAAATTTATCCAGCAAATTGGGATGATGAGGTGAGAATGACCAAAAGGGTAAAGATGAAGTAAACAGTACATTCTCTCACTTCTTCAACAAATACATATTGAACAGCTATTAAGTGCCAAGCACTTCTGATGAAAGGGTGATTAAAAAACAAACACAGTTGCTTCCTAGGTGGAGCTTACAGTTAACTGCGGGGCAATCATTCAATCATTCAACACAAATTTATTCAGCACTTACTATATCTACCGCACTGTTTTTAGGCATTGATGATTCAGCAGTTAATGAGAGATAGAAATCCCTGCCCTTGTAGAGGTGAGACAAATATTAATACAGCAATGCAGCAAGTGTTAAAGTGCGAGTGGGCCGATCAGGAATACAAGGCTGCAGAGAAACACTGACAGACTGAGCTACAGAAGGAGAGAGAGCAGAGCAGGAGACCCAGGCAGGAGGAGAGTGCCTTTAGTGGAAGGAGCCAAGCGTGTGGGGCCAAGAGCTAGGACTGGAAACCTGAGTGACCTTCTAGCCTTGCCTCTTCTGACCTGACATATTGATGGACAGACTTAAGTGAATTGCTCTGTGTGCAATGCGGGACGTGAGGCCTGGCATCAGGTAGGCCCTCAATCAGCGGTAGTTAAACCTGGAAGTCAGTGGAAGCCTGGATGGCACAGGTTAGGGGTTTCCACGGCCCAAAAACAGAGAGGAAGGCCCAGGTACCATTCTACCCGCCCCCACCCCCGCTGCCCCTGCTCTTTCTCCTCTCCCCGACTCTTGTCCCCGCCCGATAGAATGCCCATGGGTTCGGCCGCAACGGCGGGAACCGCCGGCGTCCGCGTTGGCAG